ACAGGTCGAAAATCTTTTTCAATCTAGAGCCCATTTTAGTGGCATGAGACAGCTCAGCTTTCTCGCTTCCCTCTGGGGAAAATGTGCTGATCCTATATTCGGAGCTGACAAGTTCCAGGTAAACCAGGGGGCAAGCAGCCTGAGGCCACAGTGGAGAGAAACCCCGGTTCTGCCTGGGCTCAGGGGACTCAGGCTGCTGGGAAAGCTTCTGGTTCCTTTCTGGCCCGATTATTCGCCAAAGGCCCCGTGCAGGAGACAACCCTGCTTTTCCTTCCAATCCAAAGATTCCCTTAATTGGAAATTTAGTCTGAGCTTAAAGCTGAGCCAGGCAGCCACCCCTTTCATTGCACCAGCCCTGTGGGCACACAGGAAGCACTCCTCAGGCACACGAGGGATCCAAATGTCCATTGCACTCGCCTCCCTGCAGCACAGCATGGAAGAAGCTAGACACCACCCTCTCACTCCAGAGCCTGACTGAGGTCCCGGCGTGCGCCTGGCAGCCTTTCTGGAGGGAGCTCAATACCTTCACGTTCAAGGGCACAGGCCTCGGCAGGAAGGACAAGGAGGGCAGGGAAAGCAAAGGGGCAGAGAGGGGCAAGGTTTTCCTCTCAACAAGGGAGAGCTTTTGGAAATCCCTCCTTGTCTCCAAGCTTCTATCTCCTCACCTTTAAAATCAAACGTGTTAGATAATGACAATGACTGATGTTACCATTGGCTACACTGTGCCAGGCATCAACTCATCTACTCCTCAACACAATCCAAAGGAAAAAGAGGATCCAAGGTTCAGAGTGGTGAAGCAACTTGGGCAAGGTCACACAGCAATTCATTAGAAGAATCAAGGGCCCAAGCTCTAAGCTCTCCCTTACTCTAAGCTCTGCTGTGTGCCAGGGTGGCCCAGGACAGTCCTGGCTTATGCTTGTCATAACTTGGCATAATAATTTCCCTTTGTAAGAAGAGACAGATCTTCCTTACAGAAGAATTCCAAATGATATGTACTGATACTCCTCCCTCTGGCGCTTAAGTCCAGAACCTTCTCCCTCTCGAGTGTGGGCTGAACTTCATGTCTGGATTCAAAAAAATAGAGTACAGGAAAGGGAAATGGTAACTTGATGGCAGAGAAACCTGGCAGACACCACCTTAACCAAATGATCAAGGTTAACATCACGGGTGATAAATCATGCTGATATCACATGCCCCTGATACGATGTGATAAGGGCACCACAGGGCGGGCTGGGTGGCTCAGTTGGTTAAGTGTGTGCTCTGAACAACAAAGCTGCTGGTTCGATTCCCACATGGGCCGGTGAGCTGTGCCCTCCGCAACTAGACTGAAGACCAGCTTCAGCTGAGCTGCTGATGAGCTGCAGGTGGGCGGCCGGATGGCTCAGCTGGTTAGAGCACGTGCTCTTAACAACAAGGTTGCCGGTTCAATTCCCGCATAGGATAGTGGATTGTTCCTCCCCCTCCCACCCCCCTACTAGATTGAAAACGGTGACTGGACTTAGAGCTGAGCTGCGCCCTCCACAACTAAGATTGACGGACAACAACTTGACTTGGAGCTGATGGGTCCTAGAAAAGACACACTGTTACCCAATAAAAATTTTTTTAAAAAAAGGGCACTACACTTCTGTGGTCTTCTTCCTTAAAACCTATAACCTCAGTCTAATTATGAGATAAACATCAGATGAACTCAAATTGAGGGACATTACAAAATACCTGACCAGTATTCCTCCAAACTGTCAAGGCCATAAAACACAAAGAAAGACTGAGAAACTGTCACAGACCAGGGGACCCTAAGAAGCCTTGACAACTAAATGTAATATGGGATCTCCAGTGGGATTCTGGAATAGGAAAGGGACACTAGTGGAAAAACTGATAAAATTCAAACCAAGTCTGGAATGTAGTTAATAATAACGCACAAATGTTAGCTTTGACAAATGCATTATGGTCATGTAAGAAGTTAACATTAGGGGCAATGGGACAGAAAGTGTATGGGAACTCTCTCTGCCCTGTTTTGCAGCTTTTCTGTAAATCTAAAATTATTCCAACATACAAATTTTATTGTTTTTAAAGTGCTCCCTTTGACTCATTAAAGTGTCCAGTTTTGGACAATAAATTTTATGATCATTTGGTCATAAACATGGTTTTGCCCCGAACCAAGAAGCCTTAAGAAAATTACCCATACCTTCATCCGTCTCAGTGACATGATACTAACTGCGCACACACGCACAGCAATTTAAAGTTTACAAAGTTTAGAGAGAGCAAGATGTGATGGTGAAAAGTTTGGAATCAAAAACCTAGGGGCTGAAGCCCTGGTTCTCCCACTTGCTTGCCAGGTGGTCTTGGGCATATTACGTTCCTTCTCTGGGCCTCAGTTTCCACATCTGTGAAATGAACTTATTGAATGATGACAATGGCTAGTAATGCTTATTGAGCCCTTGTTAGGTGTCCAGTCCTGTACAGCATACTGTGATGTGCTACCCACTCTCCGCTTCAGGACTGAGGACTTCTTTCTCCCTTCCCCCGTCCCCACCTCCCAGCACAGCTGCACAGAGTGCTATTGGCTGTCAGCACTGTTTAGGGATTGCCCTTGGCTGAAGAAACCATTCAGCCCCGGGTCATGCCCTTTTCCAGAGGGTGGCCTGCATCCGTGCAGACGATGTAAAGACCCAGCACCCTCTTTCAACTTGAGACAACCCTGAAGGTCATCTCCACTGCAGTGTGCCCCTTGTGGTAGGCGGAGGCGCGTGTGGAGACTGCACTGCAGCCCCGTCTCCCTCTGCTCCATCCTGCTTTCCTCCTTCCCCACAAGTGTTGATCCTGAGAGTGCTCTCCAGAAACTTCCTGCACACTAATCTCCATCTCAAAGTCAGTTTCCCAGGGAACTCACCCCCGACAGGACTGCGATCCACTGAACCTGCACTATCTTTCTTAGCCTTCAGACAAGCCCCATTTTAATAGCTGACACAACTGAGGTTAAAGAAGTAAACTGATTTGGCCAAGAATATACAACTAAAAAAAACCAAAAACGGTGGTGCCACAGATGGGGAAACTGAAGGCCAAACAAGCAAACTGATTTGCCAGGTCTCTCAGCTAAAAGACGGTCGAGCCAAGATTTGGCACTAGGTTTGCTTAACTCTGAAGACCACGGTGCCACAGCCTCCAACCCAGGCCATTTAGAGCCACCAGCAGGATTGCTACAGGAACTGGGACAGGCGAGTGTCTTTCCCATTGCCCTGCCACTCACTGCTTCCCTGCAGCTCGCTCTGCATTTGCAAAAAGGGGATAATGACAATACCTACCTCATCAAGAACTTGTAAAGATTAAATGAGTTAATATACCTAAAGACCTCAGAACAGTAACTGGCACCTAGGGAGGCCTCTATAACTGGTAGATTAAAAACAAGTCACGTAAGCAGCGGAAAGTTGCTGTGAGATGTTCTGAGAAGATGTCCATGAGGCTGAGTGAGAGTCGGCCTGTGACAAGGGGCTGGGCCTCGCCAGCTCTCTAAGGGGGTCAGGCTTGACCTGAGCCCTGAAGAAGGAGTAGGAATCAAGGAGGCAGCAAGAGGGAGGAAGAGCACTCCAGGCAGAGGGACCACAAGGAAGAAAAGCACTCTGGCAGGAGAACTAAAGTAGGATGATACAAGGCTTGCATGACTAGCACAGAGGGAAAAATCCACGTCCTGGGCAAGAGTGGTAGAAAATGAGGCTGGATAGGCAGCTAGGGACCAGATTATGAAGGACTACTTACTACCTGGGTGATTTGGGGAAAATCACTTTTATCTTTTAGAGCCTCATTTGGCTTATCTGTAAAATGGAACTAAAAATAGTATCCATTTTATCAGGTCCTTAAAGAGAATGAATGAGTGAATATTTGTAAACCACTTAAAATAGTACCATGCACACAGTAGGTGCTATACATGTTAGAAGTCAACATCAGAACTTTTTCTGAAGTACCATGAGAAGACATAAAGGGGTTTGAATATGGATGAAAGCGGGGGTGATGAATGGATGGGAGGGTGGATGGATGCAAGGCTGGTGGATGGGCAGATGGAAGTGGTTGAGTAAATGGAAGTGTGGATGGATTGTTAGGTGGAAGTTTGGTTTGGGTGATGGAGGTGGTTGGATGGATGGAGGGTGGATGAGTGGTTGGATGACTGGGTAGGTGAGTGGCAGTGGATATTGTTTCAGCGGATGGAAGCATGGTTGGATATGAGGATGGGTGGCTTGGTAGATGGAAGCAGTAGAGTGAATGTGGGTGGTTGGTGGGTGATGGGATGGATGGTGGTTAAAGGGTGGCTGGATGTTTGGGTGGGTAGGTGAGTGGTTAGGTGGGTGGATGGATGGATGGATGACTGGATGGTTAAGTGGGTAAAGGGATGTGAAATTAGATGGATGTATGGGGGTGGATGAGGAAATGGTTGGGTGGACAGGTGATTGTTCAGATGGATGTTAGACAGGTTGAGTGACTGGAGGTGGTTGAATGGATAGAGGGGTTGAGGGAATGGAGGGGTTGTTCAGGTGTGTAATAGAGAATTTAGGTGAATGGAGAGTTTGGGTGAATGGATGGATGACTGGGTGGCTGGATGGGTGCTGGGTGGTTGAATGAGTGGTTGGGTGGATGGATGGGTGACTGATGGTTGAATGGATAAACAGAAAGTGGAATGGGTGGGTGGGTAGGGTGAGTTGTTTGGTGGGGAGATGGTTGTTCAGGTGGATATTAGAAAGGTTGGGTGAATGGAAGGATTAAGTGTACGAAGGGTTGGTGAATGGGTGGATGAGAGTAGCTGAATGGATGGATGGGTGGATAAATGGATCGATCAACAGGTGACACCAGATCCTTAGGCGCCTCCCATTAACCCTCTAAAAGTCACGGAGGAACCCCCGACGGTAAAAAGCAGCAGAAACAGGCTTGGGGACAAGACCTCCTAGGTGGCCCGGCCCCAGGATTCCTTCCCCCCGAGCGCCTATCCCCCCCTGTGCCCACCCCCGGAGTCCTACCTGGAGGCAGCGATCTCAGCTTTCTGACGCGCTATCGCGGCTGCGCGCTGGGCGCCCTCCATGCTGTGCTCCACCTTCTGCCGGACCTTGCTGCTTTTGAGCGGCAGCACGCGTCGCTTGGTGCCTTTGACCAGCACGTTGTGGCGGTACTTGCCCTCCTCGCGGTGGCCGTCGGGCAGCGTGGTGCAGCCGTAGCCGTGGCGCAGGTTGTCCAGCCACTCGCCCTCGTAGCGCAGGCCGCTGGAGCGCTCGCTGACGCCGAAGCCCGAGCGCTTGTCGTTCTTCCACTCGCCCATGTAGGTCTCGGTGGTGGTGGCGTCGATGTCGGCTTCGAAGGGCGCGGCGTCGTCGGCCACCTCGGCGCCCTCGCCCAGGCTGGTGGTGGAGGCGGCGTCGCTGGCGCCCGAGCTGAGGTCGCTCTTGAGGAAGCTGACGCGGCTGCGCTGGCTGCCCAGGGACGTGCGCGACTCGGCCCGCCGCAGCTTGCCCAGCAGCGCGCCCCGCTGGAAGAAGCCACCGCCCTTGGGGACCCGCGAGGCCGCCTCGGCGTTGGCCAGCAGGCTGAGCGCGAAGCCGCCTCGTGGGATGGCGGGCGAGGGCAGCGGCGGGCCGTCCGAGGCCGGCGAGGCGGGCGAGTCCGGGGCCACCGTGCCGTTGCTGTGCTCGCTGCGCAGGGACGAGAGCGACGTGCGCAGCGGCGAGCGCACCACGACGGCCATCCCATAGGGCACACTCTGGCGCACGCCGTAGCCGTGGCGCATGCCGTTGGTGAACTGGCCTTGGTAAGTCCCTGCGGGGGAGGAGAGGGCGTGTCAGTGGGGAGGCACGCACGACGGGACCCCGGCGCGTGCACAGGGCAGACGCGAGCAAGGCCAAGGAGTTGGAGGGGAAAGCAGGCGAGGCTCTGAGGGTGTGAGGTCACGTGAGTGTGCAAGAACACAAGTGGACAAGCCAGAAGGAGTTTGCGAAATGGTGTGACTCTTTCCGTTGGTGGGCATCCCAAGTGTGCACGAGAGTGAGGTTGTGTGAGTCCGAGCGTCAATGTGTGAGGTTGTGTGAGCAGGTGAGGCCCTGGGACACTGCATGAGGTTAAACGAGTGTGCAGGGACACTAGTGGGCAAGCCAGAAGGAGTTTACATGATGGTGTGAATATTTCTGCTGGTGAGAACATGCCGAGGTCTTTAGTGTGCAGAATAGGGTGAGGTTGAGGGAGTTCATTTTAAGTGTGAAGTTGTATGAGCAGGTAAGGCTCTTTAAGTGTGAATTTAAATGACTGTGCACGGATTTTGAATCACCCAAGAGAAAATGAATGTGCAAGAGTGTGAGTGGACAAGACAGTGAGTTTGTGCAATGGTGTGAACATTTGTATTTGTAGGGGTGTGAGAGGTAGTGGGAGCACGCAGAACCCTGAGTGTGCAAGGCAGTGTGTGCACAGAGGGTAACCGAAACCATGTGAGCATGTAATAATGGGATGCAACATAGCTTATGAGACCATTTGAGGTCTTAAGCATGCAAGGAAAGGCAAAGTTGAGAGAGGGTGCAAGGCCGTTATAGGGCAAGAGTGCAAATTTGTGTAGCAGGCAAGGCTCTGTCTGTATGTGAGGCTTAGGTGCGTGTGCATGGTTAACAGTGTGCAAGGTAATGTGGATGTCCAAGCTCATGAATGAATAAGACAATGAGTTTGCACAGTAGCGTGAATGTTGGAGAGCGTGGGACTCTGTTGAAAAGCCTGATTGTATATTCGTGCAAGGCCATGTGTATATTCATACAAGGCCATGCATGTCAGTGTCTTTTGACTGTATGGGATCATAAGTGTGCAATGCAGTGTGTACACAGTGAGGTAAGTGCCCACTAGAGGCAACACTATGGACGTGCGTGAGGTTCTGAGTGTGCAAGGCCATCTGAGTGTTAAAGCACAAAGTATATATATGAGGCATCCTAGAATAAATGAGTGTGTGAGGTTGTGGGCATTAGTGAAACCGAGATCATGTAAGACCACGTGTATGCAGGATAGTGGTGTGGACAGATGTCAGTCACAAAGGGCTTGTGTGTCCATGAGTGAGCACATGAGCTCCTGGAAACAAGTCTCGGTAAGTGGGCCATCATGTGAATAAGAGGCAGCACAGAGCAGTGATTAAGAGCATAGACCCCAGAGCTCGGCTGCTGCGTCCCAATCCTGCCTCTGTCCTCACTAGCTGTGTAACATTGGGCAAGCGACTTAATCTCTCTTAAGCCCCTCAGCTTCCTCGTCTGTCAAAGAGAGATAAGAATTGCCTCTTACCTTATAGGGTTGTCTGAGGTTTAAATAAGCTAATATCTCTGAACAACTCTAAGAGAAAAGATATGTGTGTGATACTGTGATTCTACGAAGTTGTGCTCTGTGTGTGAGGCCACCTGAATTGTAGGAACAAACTGATACAAAACTGACAAAATATCTTCATAGCCCACCTTCAGTCTAATGTGCTGTGCTCCCCAAGGCTCCATCCAAAACCTTCTCCCCACCCTCCCTGGGTGATTGTATTATCTGGTGTTTTTATAACTGCCATCTAAGCCCTGTGGACCCCTCTAAATATACCCTCAACCTCTTCCTCTCCCCTCCACATGTCAGCTTGGCGATAGATGCCCCCCAGATGTTACACAGCCACCTCCAACGCATTATCTCCCCTCACCCCACAGACACCTCTTCCACCTTCTTGGTCTTTCTCTCCCAGGTGGCCAGTTCTCTGCTTTCATCTTCACGTCTCCAGCATATAGAACAGTGTCTGACACAATGTTCAGTGAATTGAGGGGAGAAATTCAGAGCCTTTGTTTGAACACATGCTGAAACTTTCCCCTGGTTAACTAAGAAAAAAACCAAATGGCCTTCTCTCAACAAATCCTGCTCAGGGTGGCTGGGTAACTGAAACAGCTGGCCAGGTAAGAGACTCCTAAGCTCAGTCCGACAGGCACACTCCCATTCAGGCCTTTGCACAGGCTGTCCCCTCTGCCTGGATCTGTTTTCCTCCAGGTAACCTAAGTCTTTGCTCATTGGGCTCTACCCTGACCACCCAATTTAAACCTGCACTCTGCCTGCACCCCCACAAGCACCCAGATAGCCCTCATTTAGTTGTGCTTTTCCCTATAGCATTTATCACCTTCTAACATACCGTACGATGTATTTATTATATGCATTGCTTTTCTCTCTGCTAGAATGAAAGCTCCATGAGGTCAGGGATTGCTCCTGTTTCGTTCTCCGATGTCCCCCCAGCACCTGCACCAGTGCCTGGCACATAGAGGTACTCCACAAATATTTGTGGATTGATTGGCTGAACCTATACAGAAACTCCATCTCATGGTTTGACCCTGAGCAACTCTCTTCCCTTCTTAAGGCCTCCATCGCCCCACTGGTCAATGACGTGTTGGATGTGAAGCTCACTGAGGTTCGGCTGAACTTTGAGACATAGGACTTGTAGAAATTGGGGCACTGTCACTCAAGGCGAAGGACAGCACGTCCACGTGACTCCACACTGCCTGGTCCCTCCCAGCACAGGCTGCTCCAACTCAGGCCCCCACCCCGGCCTTATCACCATGAAGAGCCCCATCGAGAACCATGTATCATGCCAAGGGCTCGCTTAAACCTCTCAACACTCTTGTGAGCGGGGGTCCCATACGATGCTCATTTATAAGAGAGGAAGTCGGTGGTCTGAGAGGTTAGGGGACTTGACCAAGAAAGCAGGATACAAACCCGACTCTTTCTGATGCCTAAAGCTCATGCTCTGAGCCCATGGTTCTCAACCCTGGCTGCCACATTAGAAGAGCTAAACATAAAATGCAGATCCCTAGGCCTCACCACCAGAAATTCTGCTTTAATTTGTTGAGGGGGGGCCTGGTGCTTCCAGCCCCTCTGTACAGCAGGTAGGAGCAGCTGCAGGTAAGAGGGGTATCGGGGCTCACCTCCCTCCCGTGATCAGCCACAAACCAACAGTCATGGACTACCAGCTATAAAAAGGCCAAAGAGAAATGGAGAGAGACAGAAAGAGGGGAGAGCACTGGGCATGAACTTGTAGAGGAAGGCGCAAATATGAGCTCCATCTCCCAGGGGGATTGATGTTCAGAGAGGTTATGTGGCCTGCCCAAAGTCACACAGTAAGAAAGGAGCAGAACTGGGATTTGAACTGAGGCTTGACTCAAGCCGAGGAAGTGGGAAAATGAGATTGTATAGCGGAAAAATGGAGAAATGAGAATTGTTACAAAGGATGAAAAAAGGAGGAGATGGACAGATGGAAAACGCATATGTTCCATTTTCCAAGCTCATTCATTTGTGGTCACATTGTGTGGGAGGCGCGAAGACAGAAAGAAACGTGTAGTCAGAGACAAACTGGTTTCAAATATCACCTAAGCTGGGGAAACTTGGACAAGTGACTTCTGATTCTCAATTTCCCCATCTGGAAAATAGAAAAATAATACTTGCTTTCTAGGGTTTTCAGGAAGATAAAAAAAAGACAACAGCAAAAAAAAATAAAAATAAAAAACACCAAAAACCAAATGTCCATCAACTGATAAATAAACTTTGGTCAACCACTCAACGGAGTATCGGTCATCAATAAAATGTAATCGACGGCTCATACACGCAACATGGATGGACATCAAAAAATGCTCAGTGAACGAGGCCAGAGACAGAAGAGTACAAAGCGTATGATTCCAATCGCATGAAAGTCTAGAAAGAACTAACCTATAGTGACAGAAAGCAATCTGTGGTTACCAGGGGCTGGGGGTGGGGGGGATACACTGTGAAGAGGCACGAGGGAATTTTCTGAATTGATGGAAATGTTCTAATATCTCGATTGTGCTGGTGGTTACACAGGGGTACAACTTGTCAAAAGACTATACTTCGAGTGCATTATACTTGCATGGAAATTACACCTGGATACAGTTGATTTAATAAGTAAATAAATAAATTGTAAATAAACTTTTAAGGAGAAAAAAAAAACAAAAAACAACCCACCCAGCACAGCTTCCTGTAGATATCCATCGGGAAACCCCATCAGCTCTACTTTCCAACTGAATCTAGAATCCGGCCACTTCTCACCACCCCCACTGCTACTAGATGGTAGTCTGAGCCACCGTGATTTCTCACCTGGATTTTCATAAAGGCTGCTACACGGGTCTCGTGCTTCTGCCCTTGACCTCTTCCATCTATTCCTAACACACCAATCAGAGGGATTCTGTTCAAATATAATAGGTCAGGTCATGACACCACTGTGTCTCTTCTCACTCAGAGGAAAAGTCAAGGTCCTCAGTGACTCACAAGGCCCTAACTGATTTCATCCCCATCACTCCTTTATTCTCACTTCCTCCCATTCTTTCCTTTCCCTCACTCCACTCTGGCCACAAAGGCCTCCTTGCTGTTGGTCCCCCACACTAATCATGGTCTTGCCTCAGGGCCTTCGCATATGCTGTTCCCTCTGCCTGGAATACTCTTCCACCAGATAGCTGCCTGGCTCACTCCCTCACCATCTTCAAGCCTTTGCTCAAATGTCATCTCAGGGAAGCGTCCCTGACCACCCTATTTAAAAGGATAATCCCTGCCTGAGGTTTTGTGTCTCCCTTATTTGCTGTATTTTCCTCACAGCATATCTAATATAATATGCATTTTGCTTTTTCTTCTGTTTATTGACCATCTTTCTCTCTGGAATGTAAGTTCCATAAAAGCAAGGATTCATCTGTGAAAAGGACCATACAGGTAAGATTCACCCAAGATGACACAACTAATCAATACACCAGCGCCAAAACTCACAACCATGTCTAGCT